TCGACCAGCACGAGTAACCTAAAGTTCAATATTTGAATAAAAAAAAACCAAAAATCTTTTCAAACATACTTGACGAAGATAAGTATCTGTATCTTCTGGCATATCATAATTAAATACAATATTAACACGATCAATACCCATATCACGTTCAAATGAATTTGTTGCAACAAGAATACGTTTTTGACATTCTTTAAATTCTTTACAACGTGCCAAACTAAACAAATAAATTTATTTAATTTTTTATTATTATTTCAATTAAAAATAAAGAAACCGTTGTTCTTGTGGTATTTCATAATGAATTTCAATAGCAGAAAAACCTTGTTCAGTTAATAATTTGCATAAAGCTGTACAACGTGATGCTGATTTAACAAAAATAACTAGTTGATCAAATTTTAATTTACCAAGTAAATCGATTAGTTTTCGTCTTTTATCATTTTTACGTAATTTAGTATAACGTTGATGAAGACCCTTTATTTAAAATAATCATAGTATTATTATATTTATTTTTGAAACTTACACGAAGTTTTAATTTTATTTGATTATCAATATGATATTGATTCATTTGCCCTATATGTGCATCAATTTGCCCCATATGTGCATCAATTTGCCCCATATGTGCATCAATTTTTTCGATTGCAGTGGTTAATTTTTCAAGACAGGCAATAAGAGGATCATTAATTTGTTGTTGTTGTTGTTGTTGTACTTGATTATCATTTGCAATTGCCTAAAAAAAAAATTATTTTATCATTAACAACATTTTCTTTTGGTTTTTGCTATCTTATTATAAGACTCGTAAGTACTTACAGAGGAATAATAATGAAAAAAGGGAGAATATAAAGGAAAAAGAGGAAGGACATATAATGAGACAGTTCACATACAACTGACGCAAAAAAGAGAACACACATGCAAAGCGGAATGCACAAGGAAAAATGTCAAAAAAAGAAAAAAGAAACCCAAAAATAACAATAAACATACAAAGAAAACTGAAAGGAAGGACACACATCCATTAAAACAGGGACATGTAAAGTATACTACCGGGGACAAAATTAACGCGACACTTTACATTTTTATCTAAAATATAAATTTCAAGATCAGAAAAAGTTTTCTCGGTTATATTTGAATAGCACGATTAAAGGTGTTTATAATACAAAAAAGTCTAATATGAAGATACAAATTGTTGATATATTTTTTGAGTCTGTTTAATACATGGTTGCGTAAAATATTTACTATTAGATTAACGTGTATTTTGTTTGCCTCCTATTTCGTTGCTTGTTGATTTCTTTGAAAATGTATAAACTAACTGAGGAACAACGTTGGTACATCATCATTGAGTGGAAAAAAGGATCTTTAAATGTCCCAGAAGTCGTACGCTCTTTCAATTGTCATCGTAGTGCAGTATATCGCGTTATTGATTATTATCGTCGACATAATGATGTGAATTATACTGATAGATATAATGCTGGACGTCCACCTGCGCTCAATCCAACACAAATTGAACAACTTGATCGAATTATGCAACAAAACAGATCAGTTACTGCCGCTGAATTACTATCATTAACACACTTTAACACTACTGAACGCACAATAAGACGTTATCGTTTTGCTCTTGGATATCGTCCTCGCAAGTCTGTTATAAAAGTCAAGATAAACAATTCAAATGAACATAGACGATATCAATTTGCTACAGCACATCATCATGCTGACATCAAAAAGTATATTTTTGAAGACGAATGCTATATTGGTTTAAGAAATACACAACAGATCGTTTGGTGCAAACAAGGAGAACCAACACCGAAGAAGACAATTTCATCTTTACGAGCTCATATTAATTTAATTGGTTTCATTTGGTGGGATGCTTATATCTTTTATCGATTTAATCAATGGCTAAATAGTGATTCATATTGCGAAACAGTTGATCTACTTTTATCTGAACATTTACCACAGTTAAATGGATACTTATATGTTTCTGATGGTATTAAATGGCACAGAAGTGCTCAGTTTAAACAATGGTGCCATCAATACGATATTGAATTATGTGAATGGCCAGGTTTAGTGGCGGAACCAGGATTTTTTGGTATGCTGTAGCTCAACTTTAGAGCATGGGATCCAAATGAGATTTATGGAGATTGATATTGGTCCCAAATGATGACTTTCTATGAAACGATTTTTACGATCAAAGTTTGCGAAAAAAATTAGCATTTTCCTGAGCTCCCCCAAGCAATATTTAATACTTTTAGTAGTAGCCGATTTTTGAGAATGCCATCGTAAGCTACGTTGAATTTCATCGACAGATTTC